TCTGCAGTGGTCCACAGAATGAGGTGATCTGTGTAGGCGCAGGACAGTGAGCGGGTCTGGTCCTGGGTGTCTGCAGTGGTCCACAGAATGAGGTGGAGGTAGGAGGCACCAAGGAGGGTGAAAACCAGCACGAGCTCTCATGCTTCCCAGTCTGGTTCAGATTCCAGCGCTGCCTCCACCAGCCATGTGGCACCAATAAACCACCTTGCCCTTCTTGAAGCCCCAGGCTTCCCGGTGACAGGATGGAGATAGAGGTACCTTCCTGCAGGGTTGTCCTGAGAAGCAGCCCTCATCCACGTGCATAGGGCCTGGTAGGCCACAGGGCAGCTGCTGCTCTTCAAATCCACCTAGCGGCCGGGCGCAGTGGCTTGTCCATCATCCCAGCGGGTGTGGTGATTCACCCCTGTCATCCCAGCACTTTGGGAGGCCGAGGCAGGTGGATGTTTTCAACTCAAGAGTTCGAGACCAGCCTGGCCAACATGGTGAAACCCCATCTCTACTAAAAATACAAAAAAAAAAAAAATTAGCCAAGTGTGGTGGTGGGTGCCTGTAGTCCTAGCTACTCAGGAGGTTGAAGCAGGAGAATCGCTTGAACCCGAGAGGCAGAGGTTGCCGTGAGCCGAGATTGCACCACTACACTCTAGCCTGGGTGACAGAGTGAGACACAGTCTCAAAAAAAAAAAAAAGGCCACAGTAGCAAACAGCAGCAATGGTGGAGTACCTGTTGCATCCTCAAGCATAATTTCTCTCCAGTTCTCTCCAAATTCCCATTTACTGAGGTGGGGATTAGCACCCTAAAGATTTGTTTAAAAAATAAGTGAATGTGATACCAAATTAACCTAATTTATATAGTTTCAAGTCGTTGCTGGTAGTATCCTATAGTACGTCTGGAAGGTAATTTAATTCCCCACTAACAAGCATAGTGGTTCAGAAACAGAGACAATGGCCGAGCAGCTGAGGCCGTGCCAATCGGCCAATCCCAGGGAAGGGTCTGCAGGAATTCGTTCACTCTTCTTGCAGTTTCCTTGTCCATTTGAACTTTTTTCAAAATATAAAATGACAAAAATAAAGATGTAGGTGGTTTCCAGATTTGCAGTCCTTCAATAATACTAAAATGCACACTCTTGTATGGAGAAACATCCCTGGTGATCTTTTTTTTTTTTTTTTTT